GTGACAAGACGAGCGCTCTGCGTGCATGCAGTCTCCTGTACCATACCTGTAGTTTATTTTTTGCAAATTCATTTTTGAAAACCACTCCTATAAAGCCCATCAGCCACACAATCCAAGGCTGTCTCAGTGCTGCATTGCCCCACAGAAAAGTTAGTACAGGCCCACCACGTCATCCCTGTTTCTCCTATTTTTCTTTTTTTTTTTTTTAAACCAAGTAGCTGCCAAATCAACAACGCATCGATTTCTGGTTGTTAACGTCATCTCACACGTAAGGCTATGAATGATGCACGCGCACACGCACACACGCACGCGCACACTCTCCCACTTGAACTAGCGCTTGCTCTTGGATAGACACAATCTCTGCAGGGCTGTGTAAACAAATGTCATCTTCATTACCTCAGATGGCTCCACGTTACTGAAATGGAGCGCTCTGAACAGAGCAAAAGGCGTTTGAAGAGTTTCAGCACAGCCTGGCGGGTGAGATCTGAAAATACACCAGGTCCACCCCAGGGACTCTACGGAGTATTGGTGCGTGCGAGCTCTGGGTCTCAGCTAACTGCCAGGCAAGGTCAGGCTATCATGAGGTTTCATCTCCAAAACCAAAGATTTGAGACTGAGTGCTAAAATTGGTCGAACGTAAACTTCCTCTTTATTTTTCCCTCTGTTATGTTAGACAGTCACTCTGATGACTACCTTAGGACTGCCAGCCATGGTGGAGTGCAGCTGTGAGATTCAAGAGACAACCCAGCTGTAAACAGTTATATACTTATTCCTCTGAAAAAGGTTTATTATGTTAATTTCAAAAATTCGGTAACATTACGCACTGGTGATGCTGACAAGACTGAGTCTGAGGACATAACTATTAAAAAAATTCCTGTTTTTCACTAAGGTTAAAACAATGAGACTAACATTTTACAATAACTTGTACTAAGTATCCTTCCTAAATAATAATATTTTTTGTCCCTAGAAAGGAGATCTTTTAGTATAAACTTGCTTAGTACTTTTGTAGTCATCATCTGCCTTTCATTTGCATTGGAAAGAAAGATTGACTTATAAAGCTTTTGTATAAAACTTTTATTTCTACATTGTTGTACCTTTAAAATTGTTGGAATCTGTTCTTCAGAAGACTTACGCTTTTTCCTAAAGTAGAGCTGATGCATATAGAAATGTGCTGTGCTCTGTAACTGAAACTTTCCTTTTCTTCTATTTTGGCTTTCCCTAGTCTAAGACTCAGCACGCTGGTTCTTGGCAAGCAGTTGCTCTATGTATGGAAAAATAGCTGTGGTACAGCTGCGTAGAGCCCTCGGGGAATTTCTGATATTCTTTTAGAGGCAATCTGGAGAATGTACAGTGTCAAAAAAACCTGGGCCTTTACAAAAGCAAGATGCCTTGTCGAAGAGATAAGCATTGCTACTGGAGAGTTTTTCTGAGGAATGTTAAATAAAGGATATAATTTCCAGCTTAATGAGACACCTGTCTTGAGCCACTATTCTTTCTTACTTTCTTTGCCATCTCACACAAACAGACGGCTCGTGATGTTAGTATTTTACTTCCCTTGTAGCTCCTAACTTCAACACTGCCACGCGTCACAGACTTGCTATCCGGCTGTGCTTGTGCCTCTCATACAAGATTTAACTTGGGTTCCCCGTTTGCCAGCAAAGCTTGAAACACACCGCTTGCTTCACTCCTCCGGCAAACTTCCCCCCCGCCAGGTGATGTCCTGACGGTAGCAGGGGCAGGTGGGGACCCTCCGGGTCCGGTCCAGCCCCTCGGGCTCCTGCGTGTGACTACCAGCTCCTTCCCAGCAGATCAGTTTAGAGAACAGGGAAGAAAGTGCTCCCTTCCCTAGCAGGGAGCGAGCTCACTGCCTCCGCCGGCTGCGGGCTCTGACAGCATCAGCCAGCTCAGAAGTGGAGAGGGTGAGTTCACGGGCACCGGCTGCACGTATGGGTGGGAAAAAGGGCTGGCACAAATGTTCCCTGCAAGAGCCCAAATGTGGCAGTGGAAGCTGGGGTGTGGGAAAGCAACAGGGCTTTTGTCATCCTCAAACAGCATCCCTGACCGCCACGGCTCAGTGCACTGGCCGGATTTTGTACATTTATCTCAAGAATCACGACATGGCTTACATTCATAATATGCAGCCTCTGCAAAAGATTTTAATATAACAGCCTTGTTCATTACAGAGCACGAGAAACATATAAAAATCTAAACAAGGGCAAATGTACAGTTCATTCCCCACTGCAGTTACCTGACCAAGCAGAATCTTGTGGAGACTCTGGGATCCGTTCTTTCCCTCACCTTTCCACATCAGACCCCACTAACACAGCACAATTGCTTTTCCATACCTACTTTTCTATCAGCTTCTACCCAGCAAATTGTGGGAGAAATCCAGTCCCTTTGGTCACACAAGCCCTTGATTACCCTCATTTGTTGCTCAAAGTCCTCTCCCAGCTGATCTGTTCCTTAGTTATTTTTATCCTAGATTTCAGATTATAAAAACCTTTCAAACAACAGCTAACTCTTAGCTCGAGGCAGCGGTTAGCAGTCTTTGTGCAGCTTAGCTCTACTTGAGAAAATAAATGTTTTGTGTCTTTATTTGCATGCTTGTTTCTCAGCTTTTAGGCTATGCCAAGTCTCCAGCCTGCTCAACGTTTGTTCTTGCCCTAACAAAGCCAGAGCAGTTTCCTCGCGGTTTCCTTATTAGCTTGGGCTTCACGCCTCACCTGTAATATGCCTCACAGTGTTCCTGGGAGACACAAAATTAAGTCCACAAGTGAACAAGCCAAGCGAGTGTGGAGCATCCAGCATAATGACCTCCTTCTACAAGCTCTGTGTCACCACCTCGTGGATTTTTGAAATGACAATGACAATAGAGAAGGCAACATACCATCCCTGGTACCACAGAGAGTTCCTAGAAGCAATCGGAACTTCTAAGCTGTGTTAAGACAGGCTCCCTCAGTTGTCACACTGGGATTTAATGAGATTTAATTGTACAAAGTGTTATTTAATTTGAAAATAATTAAAAGCCAAGAGCTCAGTTTATCCCCTTGTGACTACAAGGAACTTTACTCCAAAAGTGGTTCACGCTAGGCACATGAGGGCAGTTTTAGTGTAAAGCTCTGCTTCTCTGATTAGGCTAATAATGAAGACATGTGTGAGGCAAAATTTAACATAGTTTAGGGCTTTTCTTTCAAAATACATACACAAATTGAGCATTAACCAGGCATGCATTTTTTTTTAAAAAAAATATGCAGTCAAAAGAACATTGAAATCATTCTAGAAAGCAATTTAAGCAAAACAAAATCCTCCAGAATTTTTACAGCTCAGGTGCTGAAAGAGCTGAAAAAGCTGCAGAACAATTTTTCAGGGGATTGAAGTGTATGAGTGCCCTAAGATTTACACAAAATGAAAATTTGGGCCTAATTTTTGATTTGGGAAACATTTTCAGTTATTCCTAAAAGTGTGACTAGTCTCTGTCTCCACATTCTTACAATAGGCAGCTGCACTGACCTCTTTATTTTACTACCTGAATGAGCTAGAGAGGCTGTACAGTGGGCAAGTTTTAGAAATTAGTTGTTCTCTGTCATCCAGTGAGCACCGGTGAGTGGATCTGCATCCAAGGCTCTTTATCCTTTTGCTCTTCAAAGCTATGATAAATTTGCAATTTTGACATGTTCCTCTAAAAATAGCTGGCAGACTTTGGGCCTACAATCTTTTAAGATTATCTTCACATTTAGTCTCAAGAGCTTTTTCTCCACAGGTGACCCCTCATCTTTGTTAGTTTATTGCCTAACACAACTTCAGCTGAGAAGGCAGCGCAGCTGCCAGTCAAGGGGAATCCCCCTGCCTCTGTGACTGTTTGCTGCCGCTTACTCAAGCGAGACTGCCAGCACTGAAATATTGGATCTAGAGCAACAGCAAAATTAAATTAATGTTTGAACTGAGTGTGACTGTACATGTTGTTTACATGGCTCTCTAAGTATTTTCAATTACGTTTTGTAAGGAGAGATCAGGAATATGCAGTGATAAACTAGAAGGACTGAATCTGTTGAGTGACTGTTCCTTTAATGACTTTGAGCAAAAAAAAAATGACATTTCCTTCCTCTGTACTGAGAGAATCACAACACTTACCTGGGTTCACACGCAGTTTTATAAGAATTAAATGGTGTGTTTTCCTGCTGGAATTTGAAAATTTTATCAAGGTATGGGATAGCACAAGATTTTGTGCATTTAGAAGAAAATGATCAGTTTGCAAAGTCCAATAGAACAAAATAATTTCCACCTTGTCAACTATTAACTTTTTTATTTGTTCTAAAACCAGTAGGCTAAAATCCATCAGGAAATAGAAAAAATATCACAACTGTAACATACAAAACCTCATAATGAAAAAAAAAAAAATCTTGTACCAATGAAAATCTACAAGGTTTGGAGGAAAAGCATCTAAGTATTTTCCAATTCAGAAAACAGATCAGATGCATTCATGAAAGCAGTTCCTTTAAATAACAGTAAGCGTAAGAAATAGATGTGCGAGCACGCAGTATTTTAAGCTTTAAGAGTAAACAGAATGTGTTTACTGTCAGAACCGTTGCAATCATTCAAATGCCCATCTCCAGACTTTGAGGCTGACATTGAAAGCTCAGATTAACATATGTGGAGCAACGAGGACATCTTCAGGCAGGTTGGAAAAATGCAAAAAAATTCTATTCTGCGTTGATATGGGAGGACTTACAGTTTCTCCGTAAGGCTGAATTCCTTGGAATTGCCACATGATGTAAATGATAAGCTCTTAAAACTGTTTGGCAAAGTCCCAAAAGTTCCACGGAGTATTATTAAAGTAGTGCTTGGTCAGCACTCCTGAAATGCTTGAACAGCTGCTTACCAATTAGGTTAATTTACTTGCTAATCATTTTGAAGACAGCGCGCTGTTTTTACGGCCCACTAGTTTTATTGTTCTGTGTTGCTTTTCTCCTCATTACAGAAGTCAAAAAATTTCCTATTGTACATATTTTAAAAAGAAAAAGTAGAAAACAGTAAAAAGGTTTCTGAAGAAGTATTAAATGCAAATCTACACAAAAATTAAACTTTCACAGTTCTTTGTCACTCTACAAGTTTCAAGTATTCCTTTAAATTTGTACCTTTGTAAAACTGATATAACAGTAAACGTTTTCCAAAAAAAGGTGGGAAGAGAAAGAAATTTTACACTTCTTATTCTGTTTAAGATTTTTTGCACATGAAAAAGCACTTTTTTTTTAGTATAGCCTCTAAGTTAGAACTGGAGTTGTGGGGCCATTTGTAGAGCTCTCTGTTCCCTTAGTGCTGTCAACAGCCTTAGAATCATCACATACTTCAGAAGGCTCATTTTCCTCTGGCGTTGGTGGTGTAAGATCGATAGTGATCAAATCAGTTGCCTGATCTGTTTTTTCTACTTCACTGCAAAATTCAACTTTATCTTCCTGCTGGCTGTTCTTCTTTATTTGTCCATTCTGTGCAGGGTAGGTACTGGCAATGGTGTCGTACAGAAATTGGTAATGTTCCTTAAATATAAAGAGAAGAAGTCATTAGGAAGGGAATGCTCAGAGCCCAAGAATAAACCCATTCTTTCTCCATTTTCTTAAATTTTAGAAATGTAATACGTAGTTGAACATGCAAGACTGCATATGACAGCTTCCACAGTTTTTGGTGTATAGAATGTTGCTTCTATGGTTTATTCTGATGTCATGTGTATGTGATGTCTCTGTAACTATCTGCATCAGATGTTCCAAGTTGTCACACAGTACCCTCTTGGTTCACAAAGTACTGAAACAGTGTTTTTTAGAGTACATAAGTTGTAAACGACACGTATTGTAAAGAGTCTAGGAAAGTCATCTAACAACCTGCCCCATATCGAGGACCCCTAGGTCTGGTTTGTTAGTAAATGCACAACGTATGTCATAAAGACACAGTTCTTCTGGAGTGATTTAAACAAAACAAGTCGATGGCTGCTAGCCTGTGAAATGGGGTTAGCCTCCTAACTGCAGAAGTTAAGGGACACTGTGCACGTACATCCCTGAAGCAACTGCAGAAACACGAATTTATGCAATTTGTAATTTTATAATATGCACCCTTCCACAAAGGCATTACAGAATTGCAGCTCTGGATATCTCACAGACCCCTTCAATCTTATCAGTAACGGCCAGTTCCCAAGTAGTGGTGAGTGGCTGTGAATGTCCTGATTAGAGTTAGTGTTCCCTATGCAGAAATGATGCATAAGGTTACAAGGATATTAGTGAACATGGTAAGTAATCTCATCATTTTTTCTGATAATTCATAAGATTTACTTACAAAGGTGGAGACCACTCCCAGCCTGGTGCGACGAAGAGCTTTTACTACTTGGAAAACATCTATTACTTCTTCTGTTTCTGCACTTTCCAAGAGGGTCATTAAAGCACAAAATACACCAGTTTGCTGTGATCCATCACTAGAAGATGATGTAAAATGTACATGTAAATTTAAAATGTAAAATCAGCAAGTCCTCTGACTAAATGTTAGATTTATTTCAAAGCCTACATAATGAATTACATTTCCAAAACATTTTTTACTGAACTGAAATTGTTACAATTAAGAATATCTGTAGGACACACGCAAGACATAGTTTACCTAGAGGCTCCCTGGATCTCGTGTGGCTACTTAGGGGGTAAGAGAGAAGTTAGAAGCTTCAAACTTACAGTCTCAACAATTGTTACCAGGATTATCCTTTGTTTTAGATGGTATGCAAAGCTATTCCTGGAAATGGTCCTTAAAAAGTGGGCTTATGTATCGGAGTGAGAGATGAATCTAAAAGCTCTGCTGGATCCTCATTAGTAGTATGCTACAAGAGCACTCTGACCTAGCATTTCTTCTCAAAATATGTGTACCAGGCAGGAGCAGCTAGCTCTGACCACCTACTCCATGTCCACGCTTGCCAGAAGGAAGTGTGCTCACTTTTCATCACTACAATCAAAAAGGTCAAGCTCAAGTAATTCAAGGAATCTGCTAGGGAGAGCTGAGTCTCGAGATACATGGAAAGGCTTGTGGGAAAAGGCCGGCATCCCAAAATTGTGGTTGCTGTGTATATCCAGAACTTAGAGCTAGGTTAAGGTATGTGCTGAATTCAGACCCACCGGCAGTGGATGACAAGCGGGACACCACGAGTACTCCTGTTGTCCTCAGTGACTGGCCTGGATGGGACTTTTTGTTTAAGGTTGAAAATCATGCTGACTAAATCTTTGGGGTTTTCCGGAACATCCAAGTCACTCCACTTGTGATACTGATACTGATACACCTTCTGTGTTTCTTTTGTCTGAAAAACAGCAGTGGAGATGCAGTCAAGGTTCAGGTTAAAATAAAGATTCACGTAGTACTATTGCAGCTGATTTACAAAAGAAAAAGGATATTCCTGAGGAACTGCATAGTGATGTGAGTTATGAATATGAGGTAGGTAGACATCCAAGCTTTGCTGAAAGTACAAAAGACAGCTGACCTGCTGAGACTCCACTACCACCATCTCAGCAATTCACTAAATGGGAAATTTGAGCTAATCTGTAGCATTTCTCATGTCTGACTGCTGGCCTGGAAGAGAAAAATATTTCTGTTTCTTAGAGAAGGACGTAAGTGCAGTGGGAACTCTCGCTTCTTTTTGTTTAGGCTAAGTTTATAGCAGGGAAACAAATTTAAAACTTCCTTTTGGAATTTGCAAAGAAACTTTTACCTTCAGATGTGTAACATCAAATGCACGTATGGTATAGCTAGGACTACAGTTGGCATCTGTCATTTGAACTTCTATGCCATCATATGTTTGTTTTCCTTCTCCCCAGTACTGTGCACAGAGTTCCTAAAATGGATAAAAGTACGTCAGTGCTTACCATTCAAACACCCTTATATTTTATCTTATCTTCCACATGCACTTAGAGAATGTATTGAATTTAAAGTAGCAGGAACGTCACTGTATTTTCAAATACAGCATCATACACTCTTCCCCTCCAAAAACTCATTAGAAAGAAAATTAAGAAGGTAAATAGTAGAACAAATTATATTGGAAATCCAAATTCCTCATCCTACGAAACACGCTTAACTGGAGGAAGGGAACGAGACAGTGCAGTGCAGTGTTTTCTAAGCGTATAGAGGACCCTTAATATATGAGTCTGAAGACGATGCCCTCACCTGATCTCCTTCTTTCAGCTCTGTCAGCATAACAATGACTTTGACTTTTCTTTGGAAGACCATGTGCCAGAAGTCAGAGACAGTTTCCTGCAGTGGTCCCTGTGTTGCAATCATGGCTTTCGGACCCCAGTAACCCTATAAAAGAAATTTTTAATATTTTTTTATTAAACTCATTTGAAATGTGATTGTCAAGCAACAGAACTCATTGTCATTTAAAGAATACCCAGCGAAATAAACTAATGAACCCTTTTGTTTATAGGGAAACTATGCCTATCACAGTAGGCAATGGTCTTACAGGAATTCTAGGAGCCAAATGACATTAAACTCAATCCTTCTAACAACATTACTTCCCGATTGATAAGGTATACTCATGCTGCAGTGAGTGACACCTCATGCTGCCATTTTCTGCAAATCATATTTTTAAATGCTAAAACATTTAATTCTACACAGCTGTTTAATTTGACCACTAAGAAACTGAGTTTATACCACACAAAGTTGGCACACCCATCAGTTCACGCTGAGCTACCCAAACGTAAAAATACATTTACTCTGAATAGATATCCTAACTGTGCAGCATTTTAAAGGTTTCAGATAAATTGAATTCAGCTAGTAATTCTATTAAAATCAATTACTTCATTAGTGACCAATAACTGCTCTCCTTGTTTTGGAGGTATATATGATATCAAAAAACTGATGGCCCAAATTTTCACTAGTAGGGTTTTATATATGTGAATAACTATACTCACATTTCACTAACAGGGAAAATATGAATATGGATTAACCTGTAGGCAGATGCCCACTAATAGAAATAGATGTTATCATGAGGCTAGGGTGAAAGCTAGTGGTTTCAAACATAACACACACAAAAAATAAATGTTTCTATGTTTAGTCTCACTGTTTGAGATTGCACAGTCTAAGACCACGTAAAGGAAAAAGATTCATCTTATTACTGCAGCAAAATACAGAAGATTTTGGTGATTAAAACTATAAATGGATTTGCCAATCGACTGTCAGATCTTACTCCCTTATTCTCTATTCTATTTGTGAAGCCAATAAGAGAATAAGAGCTCAAGCTAGAATATAGTTTTAGCTGAAAGATTGTGAAATACTTATAGTGGATCCTCTAAATACATACAGTTATGAAGGAAGCATTGATGTATTTGCTTGATTCCTCACAGTCGCTGTCCTCATCTGAAGAATCATCTGAATCATGTTCACTCTCCTTACTGCACTCATCTTCATGCCTGATCGGCACTCGGTTAAAGTCATCTGCATGAGACAAAATGTCACTGTCATGCCACACTGCTGCGCAGGTGTAGCACTAGAGGGGGGCTGTCCCCACATGTGCAGGGGGGAAAACAGACAGAAGTCAGCCAGTCCTTTCACAACAGACTGCTGAACAAAGGCCACTTTATTTGAAATAAACTTAAACACTCCCAATAATTCAGATTTTTTAAAACTCATCTTCTTTTTTAAAACACTACGAGAAGATTCTAATTTTACACTGTTGAGAAAAATAATCAATCGAATATATCCCAGTAAGGTAATTTACTGTCCTAATTTTTTCAAAATTTAGTAGGTTTTCTTACAGAAGATAACAGATATATTAAGAGAAGGTTCATGGAAAATACTTACATGGAATTATGTTGGCATTCCTATTTTTGCTTTTATTTTCCTCACGATTCCCAGTGTTCTGTGTCCGCCACCCCTTATAGGAAGGTAATCTCTAAAAAGAAAGAGGATGTTTGGTATTATGCTTGATTAAAATGGTTCCTGGGATCATTACCCTCTCTGGATACCCACACCCTGTCCTCATCTCCCAGCGCCTCACTTCTTACTTTAATTCTTTGAACTTTGGTCACATCTGGACTCTGGTTTAAAAAGGTCTGCTATACCACGTACAATGTCACAGGAAATCATGCACATAAACACAAATAATCATTCTATGCTCCCCATCTTTGTTAAAAATATTAACATCAAAAGCAGGAACAAAATTTCATTAATTTACAGCTTTTCTCATGAAGGGAAAGAAACTGTTTCTGTGCCGAAGAAATGAAATAGCACAGAAGTGATCTATTATGTATGTTACCTCTATCTCATGACTATTGTACAAGGCACTTTCTAATGTAAGTGGGAGGTAAGAGCATTAGAATGCAATGCTTATTTACCTGAAACTCTGCCTCCAGCAGAGAAGGATCACTCGGAGGATCTTTTCTTTTCAGATTGTTAAGATAGGAATGCAGTTCTGAGAGACTGACCTCTGTTTCTCCATACTGATTGTATTCCACTAGCGCTTGATGGATAAGGATGTACTGTGACTGGTGTTTCCCATTAGTAGGGTTTAAAAATGAAGTTATTAAAGGGTTAAAAAAAATCATATCACTTTTTAAAACCATTATACAAAACTATTACTGCCATGATATTATCAGCGTCAATAATATTAAGCATTAATGTTAAATAGGCATTAAATACAAGTATTAAAAATCAGAGTGGCTTCCAAATTAGATATTTTGGAGCACATTTAGTGTATTGGATGAAAAGTGGTCTGCAAATAAATGTAATGTCATTCAGGAAATACGCAATTGAGATTTGAAAGATCTGCAAAACACTTTTTTAAGTTATAAACATGCATTGCAGCAGTCTGTAACTTTTGTTGTGCTCTCAACTCAACTGAAAATCCCACCTAGATAGACAGTTTTTAGAATTTGAAAATTAAGTTTGACTATGCAAGCTCAGTTCTACATTTGTGAATTGTATGCCAAAAGCTGGATTATCAAATCTAAAATGTTCTTCTTGGCTTCCTTTTTTAAAGCCTAAACTTAAAAAGTTGAAGTTTCTAAAACTGAAAAACTATGTTGGAAGTTTTTCTCTCTCTTAATATTTTTCAGGGCTATGTTTTCTATCAACAACTTGAACTAAACTGTAGCAGTACCCAATTCTGAGCAGCGTACTTCTGAGAAATACTGATGAAGCTCTAGCAAAGGAGAGTTCTAAGTGACAGGAGTTTTAGCAAGATACCTCTACTTGAACCATGAGGCACCGCTGCCGACGCAGCTTCACAACATAGCCATAAACATCCACTCTGCCTTCCGCATCCAGCCCCTCCAGCATGGCATCAATTCCTATATATGTCCCGGTGCGCCCAACACCAGCACTGTGAAGCACAAAGGGATTTGGTTATCGAGAGGGAATGGCATCTCCCAGTCCCACTCTGAGAGGGGAGCAATCAGTGAGAGAGCAAAAGTGAAAATGTGTAACAATGGGATATGAAGCAACTGAAAACAGTTCTTGCTGTAAATTAATTAGCAACACAACCAATGATGAGTTTGTATTTTAAATATCTTTTAATGAAAGTAAGGCCAATATTGTCAAACGTGGTGCTTTTAGCCAGAGTAGTCCGATATTTATCTGGCTGCTTTCCAAAAGTCCAAAAGTGTGTGTATCCTCAGATTTTATTGACCTGGGTATCCTTCAGATCCTTCAGAAAACAGGCCTTTTTATGCATCTGTGGCTGCCTCACTCTCAAGTAATCAAGTCACAAAATCTGAGATCAGCCAAATACCTTTGCCAGCTCTCTTTTCTGAATAGCTTCACTTCATGTTAATTTAACATTAACAGAATTTTTTTAAAATAATATATGTTTACCTGCAATGAACCACTATTGGGCCACTAAAAAAGTTGCTGAGAGCATTAACTCTGCGTCGGAGTTTGAGAAGGAGATGTGGATCCTCAGGGACTCCATGGTCTGGCCAGCTTGTGAACTGAATATGAGTGACATCTCTTCCAGCTGTCCTTTCTCTTCCCTAGACAAAGTGAAGTGTGGGGTTTTTCTTTATATATATATATA